CGTCGCGTATTATAGTATCACGAACATTGTCTCGGCGACACTCTCTCTCTCTCTCTCTCTCTCTCTCTCTCTCTCTCTCAGCCAGAAGAGATGAAGGCGACCGCGAGAAATGCGAGAATGCGTGAAACGAAGGATATTTTTCTTAGGACATGTGACATTATCGTTCAACTGAGAGTTTTTTTAAAACAGGATTGTACCGTGAATTCAGATGAATCAAATATCTAAAATAAAGACTCATTCTCTCGATACAGATACAGATATCACGAAAGAAAAAGACGGATCGAATAAAAGCGGCATGGGCGAAAACAGAATTACTAATACTTTGCTTTATTTTTCAGATATATTTTAAATTACCGCAATTTTCATGCTTATTGTCCAAACTGGAGAGTCGATCGGAATCAAGTTAAATAAAATTGACGTGAGTCTAGAAATTCGCGCACGCATCAACGAACTCGCATTTGTCTCACCTGTGAGAGGTGGTATCTCGTACGCGAGACAAATCGCAATAGGAGCAAAGGCAGCGTTCAAGAGGCACAGAACAGAAGGCGATGTATCCGCAGCGAAGGATCCGTTCTTTCTCCGGATTCCACTCTTCTTCTCGCGTCGAGATCCGAGCGGCTGAAAGGGAGGGTCCTTCTTAACGACCGTATCAATTCGCATTTTCTCCCATTCACACGCGTCCTAATCCCCAACTCGGCGGCGTACGTGCGTGTTGTGTATCGGCCGTTTTGCGAAGACTTTTATGCTTATCGTTGTACCTACGTAGGAACATAAATCGTGCCCTCCCGGTGCCGTCCCGCTTCGCGCGCGGCCTCCTAGCGGCTACGCCGGGAAACGCCCGCGGGCGACCGCGCGCGGGCGGTACGTTACGCGACGTGAGCGTACATTAACGCGTCGCGTGTCTTCTCTTTTTCCCCGCGTTATTCAAGCGAAATAGAATCTGTTTTGAGGAGGAAAAAGAAAAAAAAAATGCGTGCGGCAAGGTATTATTATGCGGTATATATAATGCGCGCGAGTTGCATTCGAAATGAATGAATAAATATTCATAAACGTATGCGTATTGATGACAGCAACGAGTCTCCATTTCTCTGCCGTTTGAGAAAAATAGCTTTCATTTACAGCTTAAACAACAAATTGATATTATAAATTGATATATTAGAAAGAGATGTACTTTAATCGTTTTCTTTTCGAGTATGAGACATATTTGAAAAGTTGGCAAGATACCGAGGGATAGATGTGTTACTTAGATAATCGATGGGGATGTGCGAGCTACTCGAATACAAATCGAATCGAATCAAATCTTATCTGATTCGATTCGATTTGAATTCGAATCTGTTCAAAAATTTCGAATCTTTCTAATAGATTTCGAATACGAATAATGTGACATTTTAAAACGACTTTATATCAATAATCAATACTATTTTTTTTTTTACATAGAAATCTCTTTATTATCTATATATTAAAACTCGACCTAACGATAATTATGTCGTTAATTAAAAGCTTCAACGATTCGATTCGGATACGAACAAAGAAATAAAATTGGATCTGAAAAACCTTGATTCGCATCAAGGTATCTCTGGTAATCGGACTAGTATTCCACTGACAAAATAATTACTACTAGTTCTTGCAATAATTCTTTGAGGATTCGCGGAATACTCGTGTGTCGTTGAAGGTGAATAGTGAAACCAGGTCGTGTGCCAAGTCACGGATGGTAAGCGACGAGAGATGCTCATGGTTAACTCGCGGAAATGATCCGGAAGATCGGAACGCTTTCTCGGTGAAAGCTCGTTTGCGATCGGGAGTTCTCTCGGTCGTTATACCAAAGAAGCACCGAAGTTTCCGTTCTCGACGAGCGTACTCTCGACGAGCAAAGTGGAGGATCGGAGCGACGTCGCCGTCGTTCGAGGATACACGAGGGGACAAATGGAACGTTTTGTTGCAAAAATCGCGTCGTAAAGCCGACCGAGAGTACGCTACTCGATTCTTCCTCTTCTCATAACTTGAGAAGCGAGATCTGGTACGTGTATTTATGTATAAAATGACAGCCATAATCGGGATTATATTTAGGAGCGAAATAAAAATTTTTGGGCCAGGAATCAACTTGACTGCCGATCGTATCGCGAGTTGAATATATTATTATTTCTATAATGTCACTTTGATTTTGTTAAATAAATCATCCAACAAATATCGCGTGTATTTTTTAAGTTTATAAACGCGAAATTAAATACGCGCTGGTACATATAGAGGAAGAAGTGATTGATAATTGCGATTCTCCCTGCTTTTGCTACTCGACACGAGGGGATTAGGTTGCACACGCGCCAGTTTTCGACGGGCGCGTTTAAACGCGGAAAATATGTAAATCCGCCATTTATAAAGCCATACATCAAGCTCAACGCTTCTCCTCTCTTGGAAAAGGAAGGAAGGAAGGAAGGACGATAATGCGGCCTGGCGCGTCGTACGAGAACATTGATGCACCTGCGTAAGCGTTTCGTTTCCCCCAAAACCTTTATTCAGTTGGGCCTTATGAGATCAAGCAGCGTATTACGATCACGTAAATTAACGTGTTTCCAAAACACGATAATTTATTTCGCAAATTTAACTTCTTTCACGCTGGCTCTTTGTTAAATTATGCACTTATGGTTTCCTTTATAACGTGGATAACGTGGCAGCTATTTTCTAGAGGAGTCTAGCGATACGGAATAAATAACACGATCACTTTGAAACTTGCTCAGACTGTAGACTGCATTAGGAATCAAACTTCCGATGCGTGGATTTTCCACGCTCGTCTTTCCAATTATCTGTGCCCATGAACTTATTGACTGCGTGCGGTGTGCGGTCGGTATCGAGCGGCACGAAAAAAAAATCGCTGTTGGAAACTTGCGATCAAATGAAAAAACGAAAGAAAAAAGAAAAAAAAACAAAAGGGACGAAAGCGAGGGAAAAAAAGACGATCGACGCCGATATATTCCGACGAATTCAATGTGGCCATATTACTCGAACGGGCAATTGCACGCGTGTTGCGTTACAACACGCCTACGCCCGTTACAAGCGAGACACGTCGCGGATTTCCGTGCGGGCGAGCTCGCATGCGAGTACAAAACACCTTGCATAGAGTCGCAAAAGAGGGATGGGTGGCGGGGGTGAGGGGGTGGCGGGGTTGCACGGCGGTCGGCCGGAGGAAGAGGGGGGGGGGGAGGGAGAGGGAGGGTGGAAAAATGAGCAGGGAGAGACAGACTGGCTTCGAATCTGCATGCCAAAACCATTTCTCTTGATCGGTGGAGGCGGTGGCGGCGGCGGCGGCGACAGTCGAGGCGGTGGCGGCATCGGCCTCTCCGCCTTTAGTTAGGCGCATTCAGGCGAGCATCGCGCGCAGGGACGCAGCTTATCGCGTGCCCGCTTCAGAATAATTCGATTAAGCGTGAATTTTCCAGGCGACCGACCGACCGACCACGTAGCCACGAATAGATGGGACGAGGAAATAAAATTCTTTATCTGCGAAACGTCGCGCGAGCCCGGCTCTGAAATCGCGAAGCAAGGACTGATAGATCGACCTCTGGTAACACGGACGAACGGATTTAGGATGAAAGAAAAAGTGTCCGAGAACGAGAAGAAAGTTTCACAGCAGTTTAAAGATATTATCTTAATCAAATTAATATAAATTAAAATATAATTCAGAATAAAAATATTTGAAAAATACAAAAAAAGTTGCAGTTCCGTTCGCCAAGAATAAATCTTGGGTTTGATATTTATAAAAGGTCTCCATTTATCTTCTTGACAAAAGAGAATGACGACATCGAGTCGCTGTATACGAAAAAAAATAGCAAGGAAGATCGTAAAATTATATTAATGGCATTTCAAGTCAGGGAAAAGGATATATCGTTCATTTCCAGGATTTAGATTGTTCTATTAGTTTTGCTCGTTCTATCGGACATCTCTGCGGCTACGCTACGGATGGAAGGAATATTTCCGACTTGGACGGAACTTCTCCGGGGACGTTCCGCGATCTAAAGGCGACACCTTAGATCCGGGAAAAAGCGGGATAAACCACCGCTCTCGCGGTATTGAGGCAGCCGAAAGCGACCGCCGCGTTCCCGGCTCCGCCTTATCGCTGCCTGACTTTCAATTTATTACCACTTGGCGAATAATTACCGACAAGAGGCGAGCCACAAGGACTCCTCTCCCCTTCGAATAACGGCAAGCGTGCGCCTTATTGAGTACATGGCACAGGCATTCAGAAACGACGACCGAATCGTAGGGCAATAGAAAGCGAAGGAAGAGAAGACTGAAGAGAGAGAGAGAGAGAGAGAGAGAGAGAGAGAGAGAGAGAAGAGAGAGAGAGAGAAGAGAGAGAGAGAGGGGGAGGGGTATGGAGATAGTTATATGTCGGTATTAATAATGAACAATGCAGACAACGGGCGCATCGCGATAGATAAATTCTCGAATACAACATGCGTTCCGAATGCGATGCGCGCGCGAGCTTAACCCGATCATCACCCCCTCCCCCCCCCCTCCCCGTGGAAACGCGGTGACGCAGCTCGCGCTCGCGGGTGCATTACGCGGTTTACAATGGGGATGCATGTGTAAACGCGACAAATAAATTTCCGACGAGCGCAGACGTGCGAAATCCGCGTGAATTTAACGCGGCGCGTCACCGTCGCATAATATGTTGCAACACGCGGAGCGCGATACGGTTTGCGTCTCGACACGTGTATATCAGCTCGTTGACCGCGTATGCGTGCGTGCGTGCGTGCGTGGGTGCGTGGGTGCGTGCGTGCGTGCGTGCGTGCGTGCGTGCGTGCGAATTTACGCTGTGTCGGGTGTCCGCGCGAGCGCGCATCCACCTACCTACACGCGTACAATGCCAACAATTGCACGTGCGCGCCGACAATTTACAAGCTATATGCACGCCGTAATCGCTCGTATAAACAATTTAATTACGTATATGCGTCCGGGATAACACGCCTCTCAATAAACGGCATTGCAACATGGCGACGCGCGGGACGCCGACCGTCGGTCGTCCGCGACGTGTAATCGCGCGTGCGAACAATAAAATTGGATATCTCTCTCGCGTTGCGTGTGACTCTCGCGTCGTGTCGGGAGCTTTTAAACGGGCGTATCTTTAAATGCACGCGTGGTGTAAATCGGCATTGGCGTGCCGCACGCGCGCGTACTCCCCGCTACGACGATATCGATATCACGATAAAATGTACTTTCAACAGTTTTTTTTGCTACAACGGTCCTAAATTCGTCGAATTTACGCACGCGGTCTGAAAGGCACCTCATGTCTTTCTACTGTGTCATTGAAAATCGTGCGCAGGTTTAAATTAGACTGATCGGGAAATCGCGAACTTCCCCTCGATTCGGCGAGAAACAACAGGAGGGATCGCGAGGATTGCGAGAGCCCGCGGAGAGAAAATGAAAAGGCATGGAGGCGGAATGTCTCCTTGATACCTCGCCTCGGCTATCCTAATCCGTGTTTTTATCGGGATGATTCGCTCGCCACCGGCTCGACACCGTGCACAATGTCCTCCTTAATTCTACACTTTCGTGGCCGCGCCGGAATCTCATA